CAGAATTCTAAAATCAGACAAATTTTGCTTTCTTAATTTCGAAGCGCTACGCGCGTTCTACGTAGGAGTAAAAATCGCAAGCTCCCAGATGAGCAATTTTCTATAACTTCTTTAATTATGGCTTTCGCAATTAAAGAAATCAAACATTTCAGCGTTGTGCGACCATAAAAAAAAAAAAAAAAAAAAAAAACGCAAACAACAATTATCCTTATCGCACATTAAATATCGGAAATTATCGAATAATTATAAACTATCAAACAATCGTATAAGTCAAAACTTTTCGGTACTATCGAATATTTTCAAACTATTCGAACATATGAAATACTATCGAATAGTTTGAATAGCGCCGGACTACCGAATAATGTTCGAATAGTAATATTCGATAGTGCCCATCACTACGTTTCGTACAACGACACCACTACCGCCGCCGCTGCCGCCGCTAAATCAAGTACAAGTCATTCGCGTACGATCTACAGAATGGAGATTAATCTGTACGCGCATCCGATTATTCATAAGAAGTAGAAAAACATTCCCCTTCGATATTCAACCCACGATATCCAAAAACCTTTTTTTACAATCCTCGTGTTTGGACGTGTTTTATTTAATATCCAAAGCCAGTATAATATTATGGATACAATAAATTATTATACCTTGCTCAATAAAGCTTCTATTCGCTTTCGTTGTAGCAACACAATTTGTATTTACAATACAAGACTCAGTTTGTAAACTGCACTGAAACCGGAACAATCGCAATTATATTTATCCGTATCTGCGTAACTTAAAGCTGTATCATTAATACGTTTTAGTTAAATTACAATAAACGAGAATTTAACGTTGCTATCAGTATCGTTGTTTTGAATATTACTTGTTGGCATGTTTACCTGATAAGAAACTATTATGATTGTATTTCAAACACCGTCGTGGGATGTTTTTATTGGGACAAGTTTTAAACGAAAGGTTAACAATGTTTTCATTGTAATTAAGAAAGTTAGGTTTATATTCACCTGATAATAGAAGCGGTGGTATTCCAAACTAACAATTGTTTGTTATTGTGTCATTCTGGGGCGTTGTATTTGCAAAATGTAAGAACCGCAGTATTACAGGTCTTTGCTATAATTAGTGGTGAGCCGATACGACTTTTGTATTTTACTGTATATGATATTTGTTATCTACAGAAATACAAACCTCACTGTAAAATATTATTTTTAATCAAAAACCACGAGTTGATATTGAAATTAATCGATATATCGGTTGAAAAATCGATTTTTTAAATTTTTTTTTGTTTTTATATTCCTGAATCATATTATGCACAATTTTTCCTAAAATAACGGTTTTTTGAAAAAAAAAAAAAAAAGCACATTTTACGGTGACCATTAGTTATAATAATATTAGGTACTTAATAGGACAAATAGTTAAATAGAATGTGGCGTTGACTTTGAAATTAGAATTTCTGCACAAATAACAAAATGTAAAGAGGATAATAGTGCATTTTTTTCTAAAAAAAAAGTTACGGCCACGTTAGCGTTATTTATTATAATTGTTTTGTTAAATAGCTGTAACATATTGGTTTTTAGAGAAAATCCAAATCCAAATGCCTTCGAAGATATTTTCCTCTTTCGATTTCGTTATAAGTGTTTATACTGTAATTTTAACCGAAACGCCACAATTGTTAATTATGTGCCAAGTGACGTAGTTTTACGTGTTGGTCATTGGTAATTGTTTTTTTTTTTTTTACCGTACAAGAATCGTTTGAAAAGCAACTTTTCGAAAAAAATCAATAGGCACGGGATTTTCGTCCTCGGATGACGAACGTTTTCGCTACCCGACTGTGTTCGAAAGTCGAACCCTTTATCATAATCTTTATAATAACTGCGGCGGGTCGGCCGGTGGCCACAAAGTACAGGTACGCGAATCGTCCGCTCGCCGTACACGAACGCCGAGCGGGGAAGTCCAAACGGGAATCGGCGCAATCGTTTACGTTCCCCACCCCACCACCCCCGGGCCCCTCGTATCGTTCGTATTATTATTTTCGAACGTAACGCGCGCGCGGACGATCGCGCGAGAAGCCTCCGGCGCCCTACCCGCGTTACGTGGGGCGTCCCCCCGTTTACGGGCGCACTTTGATGTTTTGCCCGACGATCGCGAACGACCCCGGGCGGTGCCGGTGCCGCGGCCGCGCGAGACCGCGGGACCCGCCGCATGTCGGCGGTATCGCCGCCCGGCCGCCCCGGTTAACCGAACGCCGGGGCGCGAAATCACGTTGCGATAACGCGACACGTAAATAGCGTACGCCGCCGCGGCCGACGGACGCCGGGTAACGGGCCAGCGGACACTGCGCGAACGCGCCGGTGTTATGCCGCGGCTAACGATAACCGCGTTGCGATGCCGTCGATTTCGGACGCCCGCGGGACGCCTGTTAAACCGTTACGCCGGCGGGACGTCGCGTTTCGTCCGACTTCCGATCGGGCCCGTGCGTCCGCCGCGGCGTTCCGCTGTTGGCCGCCGTTGTCCGCCGGCAGGCCGGCCGTTTCGCACGGCGTTCGGCCGGCGAGCGGGCGACCGGAAACCGGCGGAATTCGGCGCGCCCGTCAATAGTAACACGTAAAACCGCGCGAAAAAACGCCGTACCCGGTGGGGAGGGGGTGGCGGGAAAGCCGTGCCACGATAACGGTGGCCGGGCGCGGGCCACCGCGTCGGGTAATTCAACGTGTATCAGCGATCGACCGTCGCTAACGAGAACGCGGTCCGGAACGGTGTACGTTGATAGTGTTGCTTTGTCCGCGGTTTGTTTGCAACGGTAAAGAAATTAAACACGCGGTGCGCATTTACTCAAACGATATTTGTTCGATACCGCAGGCACCCGTTTTCCCGTTTCCTCCGTGTTTCCCTCCCCCCCCATTCGTTGGCGAAACTTCCGGGAAGATCGAAATACGACCGCCTTAAAGTACCTCCCGAGCACCCGATTTCCGTTCGGAAAAAGCGCTATTGTTCGGAGATAAAATCGCTTGTAGAAAAAAAAAAAAATGAGAAAATTAAACCAATGTGTTCCTCGCTCCGCCGAGAATCCAAAGACCATACAAATAAACATAATTTAAAACGTAACGAATCGTAAAACAACGAATGACGTACATGCAGCAGGTAAATGTGCCTACGCGCGATACACTGAATATACAGCGGCCGGTATTTTACAAAAGAAGCTGTTATCGTCTCGAGAATATTCCCGTCGGTTTCGCGAAGGGACACAAACACTAGCCCAGTAAGAGTTCCGCAAATTAGGTTTCGCGTAATTACGACGTACTCTCGTATGGTGGATACAGAAAGTAACCTAAAGACTAAGGCGATTCGTACAGTGTTGGGCGTAATGTCTGTATAATTTTTTTAGTTTTGCGAGTTCGCCGTAACGAATAACGAATATTCCGTTAATATGCCGTTCTTGCGTTTCACCGTACGTACGCATAACGCGATGGCGGTGTTCGGCTTTATGAGTTTCCGACCCACTATAGTTTCCGCCGATAACGATAAACGTAAAAAAAAAAAAATCTACCTATAGGCAACGTTATTGTCTTAAACAACCCGTAACGACAACATTTCGGAACGTTTTAAAACGAAACTGCGCGTAAACGAGAAACGTTTTCCCGAATTCGGGTGCCGCAGTCATTTCCCCGTTTCCCCGGGACCGTTGATCTACACACATACTCGGTCGGATAAACGCAATTATTATAATAATTCGTTTTTCCCTCGGAGTGTCGCGAGTCCATTGCGTGCGGTGTAACACGATATTGTTCAGTATAATATATCATTATACTAGAATGATATATTGTAATTAATAAAACGCGTTACACGCGATTTACGGGAAAAACCGTGACAATTTGATATACGAGCGGTTATCATATTTCCGAGGGTATACCAATTTGTATTATTTTATGTGCGTCGAACGACACCCGAACCGCGCACACGAATGTGTCCCGGGCACGTGACAACAATATATTATCAAAATATAATTATCGCACATATGACGGACAGCGGCGTACGCGGCGTTTATTCTTAGTTCCGTCCGATAATAAACATAAAATGCGCGCGAACAAATGAAAAAACAAAAAAAACAAAACAAAACTTTAATATTCAGGTAACTTTAAACGTGTCGGGCAGTGAAATACAATTTTTAATCTGGTAAAGCAATCGAACGGGCCAGAGATCAACCAACTGCGAGATAAGTTTTCTGAGAAAACAATGACGAAAAAGCTAACCGCACAAAATGTTATTACTTTGGTACTCGGGAGACGTTGGTGAAAACAAAATTATTTACATATTTGTATTTCGCTGAGGTTGTATTGTCATTATCGAAAACACTCGTGGGTTAACGTAACGATCCGCGTAGAAATAATGTAAGTTTTGTGTAAGGCCCCCGTATACACGATAACACCAACCGCCAAAGTTTTAATGATAATGCAACAAGGTAATTTAAAAGATAGCGACGGTAAATTAAATTCTCCACGAACGAAAATAGGGGTTTTTATGAAAAGAAATCGTTAGTAATAAATAATAAACTGCAGTTGAAATGTGACTAGAAACTAGAAATAGTAACTAGAAAATTAGTATAAAGGATAATGTAGACGGTTGCTGCCGCTGTCCCAAGTAATTAAATGTATACCTCTAAGCAACGATATAACGTTGCTAACGTAGAAACGATTCTGAGCGAAGTTTAGCTGATAGTGTTGCTTTGTCAATAAAATACATGCCGTATTACAGTAAAACAATTAAATAGGCGTTATACATTTTTTTTTAAAATAATATTTGTTTAAAATATCAATCATAGAAACCAGGCCTAGTGGATTTTTTTTTCGGTTATCAAGCCGTGAACGGCTGACGGGGAAAATCGATGTGTCTTGGCCCGGCCGCTACACGAAGAGGACATTGCAACCACCACCACCGACGCCACCGCACCGTGAGCATTTATCGCAAAACTGCACCGGCCGTCGCTCGTGCTTTACCACCGTACGGATATATTTAATTTTTGTTTGTTAAAAAAATATACTCGCTTTATTTAAGCGAAGTTTTTTTTATTACGTACAGTTTTTTTTTTTTGATTTTCACGTCTACGAAAACCGATGGAACAAGGTAAGGCCAACAAATACAGTATTATATGAAATTATTAACCGCGTAAGACACGACGTTACATCGTTCCGTAAAATATACGAAATTCCCAAAAGAGCTCGTGTATACGAAAAATAGGCACAATCAGCCCGATATTTTTGTGTGTACTATGCGAAAAAATTTGTTCACTACGAAAAATAAAAGCGTACAACTGCTTTATGTTTTTTTTTTTTATTATAGGTAACCTGCGTAGTACTATACTATCCGCGACTGTGTCATAGATGTATAAAAATCCAAATGAGTTGTTTAATATTTACCATAAACCATTTGTTAAGGTGCTGATAGTTATTTTCATAGTAATATGGTCCATATTAGATTTGTTTTGGCGATTAACCTGTTTATATTCGTCATCAGTTATGATCACATTTTGGTTATAGTTATAGATTTGAGAAAGACGGCATGTTTGTGGTCATTACAAATTATATAAATTAATGAAAAAAAAAAGGACTGGCTGAATATAATTATCATTTTAACCGATAACCAAAAATCATCACCGTCCATTTCGTTTAGATTATGATATTTCGGTATTTTATAGCCAATAATTATTTTAAAGATAGATGGACAGAATTCACACATAGTTTTCGTTTAGGAAATTTAAAACGCCAAAATATTTTTTAAAAAAAAGATTATAAAACTATTATCGAGGGTCGGGATTGGAAAGGAGTGAGCCGTGCCTAAAGTACGAAAAACAGAAGCACATAAAACTAAAAAAAAAAAACGCTGAAAGGCAAAAAAATCAAAACAAGATCATACAGTCACACATTTTTCAGGAATATACTAATATAAAAGTGTGGTCCAATAAAAGTTGCGATAATAAGGATAATGGAGACGGATGAAGCCCTACTACTATAGGTGTGAAGTTGGGAGAGTAGGGTACAGAAGGGAGTTTTCAATGTATTTCTGTAAACAACGATAAACCATTGCTAACGAGAAAAGATTCCGAGCTGAGTTCAGTTTATTGCGTTACTTTGTCAACAATATATATGCTATTATTATGGTAAAATAATAAAATATGTATTATATATTTTCTTTAATAATATTTGTTTAATATTTTAGCTACCTATTTTCCCGTTTTCCCGTTTTTTTCAGTGTTTCCATTTTTTTTTTTTATTCGATTTTTCCTATATATTGGGAAAATTCCCGAAGAAAATGTAAAAAACTACCTCCTTAAAGTAACTCCCCGGTCAAATTTTCTTTTAGAAAAATTGTTATCGTCGTACATTGGTGCAATATTTTTGGTAGAAAAGTTGTTCATAAAAAAAAAAAAAAATTAAAATTAACGTCTTTGTAAAACCATAAATTTAGAATCTAAGACTTCAGTCAAAAATAAGTTTAAATAATGAGCATTTGTAATTATTGTTTGGTTTTATGGGAATATATTTTTATTCTTTATTTATGCAAACTTAACACAATTTTCGTCATAAATTTAATTTTGTTGTAAATCAAAAAAAAAAAAATGTTAGGGTTAAGTGTTAAATTTGTTTCTTTTTTTACACATGTTTTATGTTCAAATTCGAACGAAAATCGTAAAAATCGTGACATTTCAAAACGTGTTAATTCAAATTTAACTTAACGTCGTTTTTCGTTGGCGTTTTTTTTTTGTAGTCTACGTATTCTATAACCTTCCCAACTCCCCACCTTCAACAATAGCCCGCTTGTCAGCCCTATTTATTTGAATATCATTACGCGGAAGTTCGAGAATATTTTAACTATATTATATGGACACTTACTTTGTTGTCACGACGTAAAATAACGAGTAGTCATACCCAATGGTATGTCAGTAATCCGTCGGTGATGTTGACGGATTAACTGCAATAAGGATGCGTGGGCATGACACCTGTCCACACCCGAACATTTTTCTGTTTAATTGATTCTGTCACGTGGTTTTATTTTTTATTTTTATTATTGTAATAGTTGTGATGACCAAAAAAAAAAAAAAAAAAAATGCAGACAATTTCTTTTCAAACCCCGGGTTTGCAACCGCGACCCCTAGTATGACAATGTATGACAATACGTACTCATGACCATTCGACTACAATAAACTTATAGTTATGTGAATAATATAGGTTATTAATATTAATATAAGTTATTTAACATAGACATGTAATATCTGCATAATATCTGAACTTCAAAAATATAATTTCGAAACTTAGTCAGTCCGCTCAATTCTGAATTTACTATCTTTCTAAAATCGGCGATACACATATATTCGAAAAAAAAAAAAAAAAATTGAAAAATTAGATTCATTCCACATAATTTTTATTCGACGATTTTCGTTAAAATTTGATATTATAATTCCTTTATAAAAAAAAAATACTACATTAAACTCAAATTTTATTTTTTGACCACAAATTCAGACTTTTAATGAACCTTCTATTAAATTTCCAAGCATTTCTGTCAAGTCTAACAGTTTTACCACAGAGTACCCACCGAATGAAAATTATGTACAAAACTCCCAAAATGAATATGTCTTTAAATAGCTCAAAAATTGTTCAAATGTTTTGACAATTTTGCTATGTCTAGAAAAGGCAAATTTAAATTTTCTTTTCAAATATCAATTCCCTACGAATATTTTTAACTGAATGAGAACAAATAACAAACTTGATAAAATATTAAAAGCATTAATTTCGTACATTTCTCGTTTTTCTTGCGTTTTAACCTGGTTTTTCACAGACATTATGGAAACCGCTTGAAAATCAAAAAATAACCTCCAAAAACTACCACCTGAACAACATTCCCTTCCATACATATATGAGACAAATTTGTAGTCGAATTTTCGTACACGGTATATAATATAAAATAAAATAAACATGATTGTAGAAACCAATAGATTCTTCGCTCCACTCAGAATCTAAAATAAAAATATTAAAATTATAAATAATTGTATTGCACAGATTATTCATGACACGAATAACTGGTATACGGTTCGGAGAATGAACATTATTTTTTTATTGGTTTTTTTTTCTTCGTTTTTGTTATTCATTTTTTTTTTTTTATTACTCTTTGATTTAGTGGAATGATTTTCTGTAGGGTATTACAGTCTTATTTTTTTATTTGTGCACTCATAATGGAAAGTATCTACTGGCGCTTAAAATCGTTTTGTACCGGTCCTTTGGTGTTTTTGAAAGCCAAGAATCTTTACGGCCGCGATACCGTGTCGAAAATTAATATATTTTATCCCCCTTTTCATTGAAAACATTTATTTATAATCTTCAAACAGGGAGCGAGAATGCGAAATGTGTTCATTTGGGTCTACCGTCTCGCCATGGATCTTGTCGGAACCGTTGTATATCATAACGATTTGTACACTTCACTCTCTTTAAAAAAAAAAAAAAAAAAACCCGTATATTTATTAAATTCTTAAAATTAAAATGCAGAGGAGAGTCAAACATAAAACGATGGCATCATTTTTCTCTTCTTCTAAGCTAAAAGAGTATTCTAAAATTAACGAGAAGTAGTTAATTAATTGTCTGTACATTTAGTACTTATATTTTGGTACTTATATCCACAAAGGGATACGACTATCGTCAATAAAGTGATCAAATTTGTAAACACGTTAACTTAGATCTATTTAGAAAATCCTTTTTTTTTTTGAATAACCTGCAAATTTAAGTAGAAAACGAGAGAATTAACAGCAAAACAATTTTAATGCAAAATATCAATTTTTAGTTGAATTAAAATTTATCTTATAGCATAATTATTATAATTTAATATAAAAAAAAAAAAACGTAAATTACTTTGCATTATCAATAAGCCACCGTCGTTGTGGAAATCAACAGAAATTAAACCTTCAATACATTTGTAATTTTTTTTTTATTTTATCGAAAGACTTTTGAGGATCTCAAATGTGATTCCAAAAACTGTACTGTTGGAGAAATATCCAAATCTTTTTAGGTATGATGTGAACAATGTTTGGGGAAATATATGTATAATCGAAAAGGTTAAAGAATTACTGAGTAAAATAATCCCATTTTAATCGGATCTTGTAATGTTAGGCATCCAAATATCAGAGTATTATAACCGTAAAAAGTATTTTCCAAGAAAAAAATACGTTTAAGTAGAACTAAAAACAGCTTTTTCGCTGCAAAATTTTAATATTTGAATATAACATGTATCAGTTATTAATTACGCGTCCTTTTCCGGCTTCTGGTGATAACTTCGTGAAATAATCGCTGCTAAATAGAGGCTGTAGCCTGCAGCAGGTGCAGAGCGAAAGCAAAAAATGACGTCCTAGAATAATAGGGTAAGGTACAGCCATTTCTATAGGTAACTAAATGTATATCTGTAAGCAGCGATAAACTATTGCTAACGAAAAAAACGATTCTGAGCGCAGTTCAGTTGATAGTAATGTTTTGTCAACTAAATGTCATATTATGGTGAAATAATTAAACAGGCATTGGAATTAACTTTAATAATATCTGTTAAATCAGTACAATACGATTTTCCCGTTTTTCCTGCGTTTTTTCCGGTTTTTCAAGTTTAGTGGGAAAGTTCTTGGAAAAATCAAAAGATTACTTTTCCAAATTACTATGGAAATGAAATTTATATTTAGAAAATAAGCTACACCTGACACATCGGAGAAAGGTATTTGGTAGAATAGTTTGTATAACAAATCGAGAGGTATTTTAAGATTAAAATAGTCCGAGCGAGCGATAGCTCGGGTCTTTAGATACACCCAAAATGCATTTGTTTTTTTCTTATTTAGATAAAAGGGGAAAAATGCAAAAAATTTTATTTCGTAGCATGAGTTCGACGAACTCGCGATCCCTAGGATGAAAACAGTTATGTAAAACTATTCAGCTACCTCAAACATACTTTATAGAAGACAATATTTAGTTATTTAACATAGCATATAATGTCTGCATAATATCAATACTTCAAAAAACTGTAATTTCGAAACAAAGTCAGCCCGATCAATTCTGGCCATACCATCGTTCTTAAATCGGTAATATACATATGCTCCATATATACTATGTCTAAAAAAAATGCAAATATAAGTTTTCTGTCCCAATTTAAAGTCTTTACGAATATTTTTAACTGAATTACAACAAATAACCTAATTGGAGAATAATAAAAGCATTATTTTTTATAAATTTCCCGTTTTCTTACGTTTTATCCTGGTTTTTCCTAGATTTTATAAAAATTGCTTGGAAAATCAAAAAACGACCTCCAAAAGTATTATGTGGACAACATGAATTTTCAGAAATGGTATTGCGCGAATATATCTGAGCAAGATTTTTGGTAGAATTTTCGTACACGAAATAAAAAAAAAAAAAAATAAACATCTCAGTAAAACCAACACATTTCTCGCTACACTACGATTCTAAAATTATACAATTATGTATACAATGTCATACAATTTAAAATATAAAATAATTACACTAATAAGATCAAAACCCGAAAAAATAATTTGATTTTCGGTCAAACGGGATGGGATTCATTAGTAACGAAAATAAATTTGACTAACGAATTCGCATTAGAACGTTCGCTTTGTAAATAACAGCGATTGCACAAACCACTAAACCGAATTATTATTCGTTAAGATGAAAAAAAAAAAATATTCTCCTCTTAAGCACTGTAATGTCGCGATTAATATTCATTATGCGTTTACTGCATTTTATGATTTCACGCGTTGATTCGTTTAAATGTTAATTAGTTTTATGTTCAGCGGTGGCGAGAATAAATCAGGCAGAGACAATTATTGTTTCGCATATAAAGTGCGTATTTATTTGTTTTTTGTATAGTTTGACTTTACGCAGACTTTCAATCGGAATGTTCTTTAAGCGGTATTGCTGACTTGCATAATTGATGCCTAGCGTCCAACAAAATCGTTCAAAATTCACTATGTTTACGAATTTCCGATTATAGCACTCAATACCCGCCGACCCGCCGTCCAAAGGCGACATTATGATCGATTCAAAAATCGACACACGCCATTGAATATGCCGATTACAGGTCATCTTTCAAATTTCATTTTAATAAAGAATAATGCACACTCAATCGAAAAAAAAAAATTGTGTATTTTCGGAGCTCCGATAGATTTTATGAAGCTCTAGCTTTAATAAACATTATGAACCACCCCGGTGAAATTTAATTTCGGAAAAATTTGCTATCGACTTTAGACGTATATAATAAATACTGGACTAAAGTATACTGCACAAAGTTTTTTTTTTTTGAGTAAATATAAATAATTATTTTTAAAATTAATTTTCCTGGATCTAATGTTGTCCGCAGTCCTGCGATTCAGTATTCAACTTTTACACATGGTTCTGAATTCCAATCACCTATTGTTGGTCCAATTACACTTTTAAACACGTTTCCCCGTCCATTGCTTTCTACAAATAACAAATAAGTGAGTTTCAATAAATAGTATAATATTATTGTGAATGTTAAAAATTATAGACAAATATAATCGTTACGAGGTCAGTGCCCTAATATTTTTTGCCACATTTGAGACTGGTAACTATTAGGTAACGGTTGGCGGTTTACACTTTTTTTATTAGTGATTAACTCTGAATAAAATCGTGGAAAGCAAAACTGTGAATATTTTTCACACTGAAACTGCCGGTTTAATGGAACTGAAATATTTTATTTTTTAAATGTCTAAATCATGCGCTATTCTAAATTAATTATTACTATAGTGCGATGAAATTAAAATGCCGAAATCGGGAAAATAATAGAAAAGGGTCTTAAAGGCCTTAAGAAAAACGCCGTCACTCGCAATTATTGCGGGACACGGCCTCACCATTGACGCGTAGCCAAAGGTTTTGTAAAATTAATAATCTAAACGGTTATTTAAACACCGTGATTCGTTCATGCGAAATCCAAGTGATTTCACCGAAAATAAGATCGGCACGTTACACCGGGCGCGCGGGCATTTTCGAAAATCGTACTATGGACGCGATAACACGGTACCGACGCCTCGCTCGTAAAACTCGTACATTTTAATCGTAAGGGAAAAAAAACCGTACCCACATTGTAATCGTTATGCCGTCAATAACCGCGCGGCCGCAATCGTTTATTTTGCTCGGTAACGATATTTCCGTAAACCGGAAGTTTACGAACAACGTGTACAGTAACCGAAATCGCCAAAAGTGCTCGTCCGCGGTTAAATACCGCGGGTTGTGCGTATCCGGTTGTTCACCAGAACACGTCTAACGAGCGGCGTCGTCGACAATCGATAGCCCCGCGTAGAAACCGCCCTGCACTATAATATCCGTAAATGTAACGTTTAATGTTTCAATTATTGTTTCGTACGCGTTCAAAACGAACGAATCGTTATCGCGGAAATCATTGATCGTTTTGTAAGTAAAAAAAAAAAAAAAAAACCGATTTTTTAGATTCCGGGCGTAGCGAGGGAAATATTGGTTTTGCCGAGATGTTTATTTTTTCTTTTTTCTTCTACTAGTCTGTGGACACGTTGTTTTCCCCTAGGAAATTCACTCCGATCTTTACGTGTAGCTGCTTTTCAGAAATCTCAAGCCGTCTAAATGGTACTATAAAGTTGTCATATTTTTGATTTTAGACGCCATTTTTAAAATAAAAGCACCTAAGTGGGAAGAAATGCAGGAAAACGTACAATTTAATGATTTCATTGTTTTATAAAAACACGGACGACGGTTTTTAACGGAAAAAATGATTTAATCGAAAAATTACAAGATATCTTTTTTTTGATTTAATTTCTAACATTTTTTGTCATTGCCGACAATTTTGAGCCACTTTTGAGTTTTTAAGAAATTTTAATTTTCGGGAGTTGTTTCGCTGTAATTCAGTTACACGTAGAGACTTGAAACTTGGTAATAGTCCTTATATTGGACTTACATGGACGTGGTAAAATTTCCAAAATCATCGTGCGACTTTTTTTTTAAAAAAAATAAGCGTTTTGAAATCAAATTTAAACGATAATTGCACAAATCATGCATTACCAAACTGCGCTCGGAATCGTCTTTCGTCGAGCGATGGTTTTGCTTTGCGCACAGATAAAAACGGAAATGACCTTGTGTATCCTAACTTCCCGACTTCTCACCTACGACAGCGGCCGCTCACAACCTCGGTATCAGCATCTGTTATTTTCATTTTTTTTTCGATAATTTATAAAAAAAACCAAACGGCTCGACAAACGCGTTCCATTACCGTTGTTTCCGTCACCCTAGCTCTCGGCGGTACGGCGGGCGGCATTACCTAGCTGCGTGTATATTGTACACCAAATATTCTGCAAGCAGACGTGATGACGCGTATTAATCAATACGCATCCCGGTGTCGATGCCGTTGCACGTTCCCCCGACCCCCGTCCGAAAATAAAAGTCGGATGTGCCGCGGACGGTGGTCGACGGAAATCGAGTATATCGACGCCGAAGTCACGATTAGGTATTATTATTGTTTATTTTTTTTTTTTTGAACTCATACCGCCGTATGTCCGTCTGTCGTCCGACAGATTTGTCGGAAGCTGCGACTGAAGTCGTCGGAACGTCAAAAGTTACAAGTGTGGCTGCGGTAGTCGTTCGCGTTAGCGCGCGAAAAAAAACGGGCGCGCCGAAAATTCTGTTAGGTGTCCGCGCGACATTTTTTACACGGCCGCTCGTTATTAACGCAATCGTCGAAAACGTTTTTTTTTTTTGTTTTTCGTTTTTTTTTCGCGCGTTAATATCGAGTGTAGGCTGTATGTACAAAGGCATCCGAAGGGAACACCCTGTATATGGCGTTATTGATATTGCAGTTACTGTTACGTAATAACGCCCGCGTATACGGTTTTGTGACGCACGAGGGGAATATTGTTGTTAAATACACCGCCGAGCTATTCCGGCGGTCGGATGTTTGCGTTTCCGACCGTCGATTTGCGCGCGCCTCCCCTTTCTCGCCACCAGGCCTAGTGGGGTTTTTTTTTTTTTTTTTTTTCGGTTATCAAGCCGTGAACGGCTGACGGCGAAAATCGTTCTGTCTTGGCCCGGCTGCACTCCGAAGAGGACATTGCAACCAGCACCACCGCCGTCACCACACCGTGGGCATTTATCGTAAAACAGCACCGGCCGTCGCTCGTGCTTTTGTAAATTAAATAATAATTTAATTTTTGTTTGTTAACAAAATATACTCTCGCTTTGTTTCAGTGAATTTTTTTTTTTTTTTTTATTCCGTACGGTTGTTTTTTATTTTCGCGTCTACGAAAACCGCTGCAGCAAGGTAAGGCCAACCAATACAGTATAATATGAATTTATTAACCGCATAAGACACGATGTTATATCGTTCCGTTAAATTTACAAAATTTCCAAATGTCTCGTGTGTATGGAAAATAGGTACAATCAGCGGCTATTTTTGTGTGTATTATACGACACAATTTGTTCACTACGAAAAATAAAAGTTTTTTTTTTTTTTTTTTTTTATTATAGGTAACCCGCGACTGTGTCTTAGATATATAAAAATCCAAATGATTTATTTAATTTTTATAATAAAACGTTTGTTAAGGTGCTTATTTTCATATCATATTTTGGTTAATAGTTATAGATTTGCGAATACGGCTTGTTTGTGGTTATTACAAATTGTATAAATTAATAAAAAAAAAGGACTGGCTAGATACAATCATCACTTTAAAGAATAACCAAAAATCATCACCGTTCATTTCGTTTAGTTATGATATTTCGGTATTTTATAATCAATCATTATTTTTTGAAGATAGATGGACAGAATTCACACATAGTTTTCGTTTAAGAATTTTTAAACACTAAAATATTAGAAAAAAAAAAAAATAATAATAATAAAAAAAATTATCGAGGGCCGGGACTTGAAATTCTCAAAAATCGATTGAAAAGGAGTGAGCAGTACCCAAAGTACGAAAAACTAAAAAAAAAAAACGGTGAAAGGCAAAAAAATCAAAACATGATCATATGGTTACAAATTTTTCAGGAGAATAGTAATATAAAAAAAATGGTCTAATAAAAGTCGCATAATACGGATGATGGGGACGGGCGAAGCCCGTCCCACCGACAGGAGTGAGAAGTCGGGAATGTAGGATACAGAAGAGAATTCAATGTGTATCTGTAAGCAACGATAAACCGTTGCTAACGAGAAAAGATTCCGAGCGGAGTTCAGTTTATTTCGTTACTTTGTCAACAATTTATATGCTATTATTATGGTAAAATAATAAAATATGTATTATATATTTTCTTTAATAATATTTATTTAATGTTTTACCTACCTATTTTCCTGTTTTCCCGTTTTTTTTTTTTTCGATGTTTCCGTTTTTTTTTTATTCGAATTTTCCTATATATTGGGAAAATTTCCGAGGAAAATGAAAAAACTACCTCCTTAAAGTAATTCCGCGTTCAAATTTTCTTTTAGAAAAAGTGGTATCGTTGTACATTGGAGAAATATTTTTGGTTGAAAAGTTGTTCATAAAAAAAAAAAAAAAAAAAATTAAAATTAACGTCTTTGTAAAACCATTAGCTCAGAATCTGAGACTTTAGTAAAAAATAAGTTTTTAATTTTTTATAATATATTTTATTAGGTATAATTGGTAATAGAGTTTTTCAATACATAATAATACATTGTTTATATAATTAAATTATATTCTTAATATTTTACTGATGTATTAGATATCTTATGTACGAGATGTATTCGCTATATCACATAATTTTAAATCGTTTTTTGTGTAATAAATAAAATAGAAGTCTAAAAAACCAAATATAGAATAAGAAAGACTGTCCCAGGATAATGGAGACGGGTGACCAGTGTTATAGGTAATTTAATGTATAGCTGTAAGCAACGATAAAACATTGCAAACGAAAAAAACGTATCTGTCCAGAGTTAGTGATACTTCGTCGTCAATATTTATATGTCGTATTATGGTAATAACGGTTTTATATAAAAAATAATATTTTTCAAATAATATTTGTTTGATGTAGCGATTTTCTCGTTTTTCCTAAGTCGTTCGCGGCTATCCCATCACATCGTTTTCAAGTCGAAAAATTACCTCCTTAGAGTATCTCCCCAGGCCGATTTATTTAAAAAAAAATCTAAAGTCTAAAAGTTTAATTTTATATTGCAACACAATTGTCGGTAGAAAAGTTTTGCACAGAAAAAAAATCTTTATATATTTTAATTAATAAGTATATTTCTTACATTTTCCGGTTTTTTTTTTTTTTTTTCATTGGTTTTTCACATTTGATGAGAAAACTCTTGATAAAATCGAAAAATTACCCATTTAAAGTATCTTTCCACATTGATTTCCTTTCAGAAAAGGTGCTTGAAAATCGGAACAACATATGTGGTAGAAATGTTGTCCACAAAAAAAAAAAAAAAAAAAATAATAAACTTCTTTGTAAAACCATGGTTTTATAAGCTTTTTCGCTCCGTTCAGAATCTAAAATTATTCGCGAATTCACAACTCTCCCACAGTCAATTGTGATAAATATGAAATTTTAAAATGTGCACTACGGAAGGTCGAAAACCATAGCCACTGGGTACGATTGCTTTTATACGTGTAGTTCAAATTCAAATATTATCATAATGATTAATGACGTATATTGTTGTGCGTCGATAATGTTTAGTGATAGAATTTTTTTTTTTCTTTTCCAAGGCGCGTTGACTTAACCCACGATCGCTAGCGTGGCGTACAAATTCATTCCGGTCATATGCTTAACACCCACGTAAAACTATCGTTTTTTTTTTTTATCGTTGAGTTCACCTTCTGACAATTAGTATAACCGGACGTAAATAGAATCGTTTCCGCGATTAGTTTTCGTTTTATTATTATTATTATTTTTTTTTTTTATTTTAGTTTCAGTCCTGTATTTGTACACGAACCGCGATGTTTCTATATTATTCGATATGCCCGGACGCCCGCGGGAACGTAAACCGAGAGGCTGGGAGGGGTGCGTATGAGTATGAGGGCGAATTCTACGTCATACCCGTCATTGGCGGAAAAAAAAAAAAAGTTACATCTAAAACTTTCGGATTTTCGTCCGTGACCGCGAGGGAAACATGTGCCCCCGGCCATTTCCGGCGCCCGCGATGCTTATAACTAATCGAAATAACCCATATTTACATAAAAACAAAATTATATTATATTTTGCACTACACACGCGTAGACAACAGTGCGATAACACAACGAGTTTATTACGCCGGGGTAGGCAAATTGTTAACCGCGCCCGACCATGTGATGGTCACGTGTGGGACGTAAATTTTCACTTTACCCGCCGAGCCTCACGACTGACGATCGGATTCCGTCCAATTTTAAAACGATGGCGGACCGCCCGCCGCGACCGTACAATAATAACAATAATGTTACACTGGTCTCGGCGCCGCCGGGTTGCAATGTCAATGTTGTATTTTAAACATTTCCTTTCTCGCTCTAACGACAACTGCGACACTGCCGCCTTTTCACGAATCGGCGTATTGCCTCTGGGATGAATCATCGCGTTCCAATAATATTTTGAAATTCGAAATTGCCATTGTTGCCAATTATGGCAGTTTACGGTTATTGTTTTTTTTTTTTAGTCCTGGCGATAAAAAGAACAAAATTTAAGACTGTTGTAACGTGTGTGTTTATTGTTTAGGCGAAAAGAAACCGATAAAAATTATTTTTTGGGTGAAATAAAACACTTTTAAAAACTATTCGGAATACAGTTGTATTGAATAATTCTGTTACAGTTATTTAAAACAACTTGTAAAAGAATACTGCTTATAACGACCCCCCCCCCTCTCCCAATTCTGGTAAAATTTCACCGGAACAATTTGATTAGGCGGTAAAATCTCACTAGTAACTATTGACTTACCAAATATCTTACCGGGGGAGTACAATGTCTCTATGGTGAAACGGTATCACTAATCAAGTTCCTTAATGAAATTTGACTACGCCCCCTAATCTATTATCGCAACAAACACACCGCCATTCCGACTTTTTTCCCGATATTTTTCAAAATGTTCGACGATCTCCTACGCCAATTTCGACTGTTTTGACGGACTGAAGTCGCGCGTGTCACGGCGGACGCACAAATTAAATTCATTTTTCATCCCTCGTCTGCCGCGGCGTTATTAAATTCCAGAAAATGTACTCACAAAAAAAACGGTCAAAAGGAAAAAACTGGACATTTCCAATGTTTCCAACAGTCAAACATTTTTGTTCAACGGTCGCCGCTGTAGGGTTGGACGATCGAATTGGCATATGGTTTGGTAGGGTCGGGGGTGGTATAATGATAAATCGCCACTGATTTTATCGAATTTTTTTTTTGTTTTCGCGCCATAGACATGGCGCGGCACAGATTCAAGAAAAACTACTTCAATCTGGCCAATACGAACAACCAGCCGCAATGGCCTACGGTGTTGGCCGTTATCATGGAACAGCTGGACCGGGCATCGCGCAGCCTGCAGAACGCCAGGGAACTGGGCGGACCGGCGTCGGGCATCCCCACGTGGGAAACGCTGATGACGGCGTGGGAGGCGTACAAGGCATCGATAAACGATGTCTCCGACGACTTCGCCTCGGCACCAAGTATTACGAACAATGAAGACGTCCAGATCAAATGGGCGCAGGCTGCCACGGCAGTCCAGTTGCGCAACCATCCGGTGATCCGGGTGGCGTTGAGCAGGGGAGTGTTGAACGTGCCCATTGTGACACCCTCGAACAGCCCCTGGCCGTTCGATAGTACGGCGGACGCGCACGCGCGACGCGTCAAAGCCATAGAGGACGACATGAACGCTTGGGCGATGGAGGGCGGGCTACCGGCTCAACGGCCTGCGCTGGAAGGCCACTCGGACGGGGAGGAAACGGACGACGATTCGTCGCCGGTAGTCTTACCGGCTGTCGTTAAGCGGGAGCCGGCTACGCGCATGGTTCCCGATGGAATGCAGGCCTCTCCTTGGCAAAACTACAGACTCACCGATTAAGGGGATGCGTGTTTTTGAACGTCCGCCGGCGCGCCACTAGATTTTTTTTGCGCCGCTCGAACAGTGGCGATTTCCGTCGACGTTAACAACAACAACCTAAACATCGAGTCGACTCGCGCGATAATATCTTACGGCGGACGTACATTTTCGGACATCTTCATTAATCATTCTCGCTTTCTAAAATAACACAATTATTCATTATATTCGTTGATTTGTGTGGCTTTCGTAGAGTAGATTTTAATAAAAAAAAAAAAATAATAATAATAACAATAATAATAAACTTCGTAAACAATAACAATAATAATAATTAAAAGTTTGAGAACAATCGTAGTAATTTCCCGAACAGAGAACAATAAAATGTCCGTTTTCTTTAACTTTTTTTTCTTATAAAAGGGATCGGGTGGACGGATCCCCATCCCCCCCCTCCCCGAAACACTTTTAATAAGGTACTCTCGTTACCGCGCGCAAATAAAGCAGACCGATGAATTCGGTACGCACGAATTAATGTGAGGTGTGCGCGGACTTCGACACCAGTTTCACACGGCCGTTCGTCACTCCGTTATTATAATTGATATCGGTTCCATCATTCAATTCCACCAATTCGACTAACATTTTTTTCTTTTTTTTTTTTTTACGGCTATATTTCACCTATCAATAGATCACTGGCCTCTTGTAATAATCTAAAAATATAACACAAACGTTTTTCATCCCTCTCGGGCGAAATTACGAACCGGTATTTCACGGTTTTTAATCATTTATAACGCGTTGTTTGGTTTAATCTATTTTGTATTTTGTTTAAAATTTAGTATTTTATTCCTTTGCCGTTAATTGTAATTATCATATGTTCAAGTATCAAATGTATTAACGTATTAGCCATTAGTTAACTGTACTTACGGCCTGGGGCGTGTATTCAAAAAAATTAAATAAATAAACTGTCTAAATACCGTAAAAAATAACATACGCATAGTAAATTAAATCGAATACAATTTACCGCGTCGTACAACGGGAATCTGGTGACGAGACCGTACACCTTCGTGCGGACCGAAACAAAGGTCCGCTTTTATCTAGCGCGAGTTCCTCTTAGCTTTAACTTTTAATATATATTTTTTTCAATTACAATTTACAATATTATATAGATGTTCGGTTTTTATTTCTTGTTCGTTCTATTTGTAATATTGCGTAGAGATTGAATTTTAGCGATACCGAGAATTTCGATTTTTATACCCTCGATACGTATTCATTTCGTTTGGGTCGGTTTCGAAACCGATACCTGTATGTTTTCCCACCGGGATGCGTCAATAGGTAACACAAATCATTAATCTAGCGTATAGGTCCTCGAGTTATCGCGAGAGTAGTTGAGATTTCCCCCTTTATTCATACCGAGACACGTTTAAAACAATTAGTAAAAAAAATTATTATCACAACGCAATAAACATATACAATCTGTAACTTGGGTAACATGTATCTGCAGCATACTATCCAGCTCTTACCTACGGGGGGAGGGAGTGGACATTGGGCCGTCCGCTGATCCTCTCAGCTGGAATATGCTTGCAGTAATTGATTATACCTTTTGTGAACGGAATTATAGACATTTATCAATTTTAGACATTCGATTACCGATAACAATATCCACCTGACCGTCGTCTTGATAGTATCGAGGTATAGATACCGAATGAATCGAGTATCGGCCGTCTCTACGTTTTTATCCGTAACAAAATAGTCTTAGCATACGGGGGCGATTCGAAATTATTCGCGGTACAGCCGTTTCATCGTATATAATATTATACTCAGACTATAGAAAAATGTACGGTACAAAAGTTTTTCGATTTATAAACAGCTACAAAATAACGTGTACATTTTTTCTTTTTACTTTTTTTTTTTTTTCGGGTGGAGGTGGAGGTTCGGGTTTCAAGTTTTCATATTTAAATTTCCATAAATGATGGATGGAGTGTTATATAGTTTAAATAAACGTCGGTATTCAGACGCATTCACTATTCGAACGCCGTACTGTGTGCCAAACCACACAAGCGCGCATTATAATACAATGGTGTTTCACGACTGATCTCCCCTATTTACCCCCCTCCATCTCAAAAGAAGGCGAAAGCAAAAAAAAAAAATTATTATTTTAGACGTTTATAAATCGAAAAACTACGGCGCTATACGTTTTTATCTATTTCGAATGTCAACACGTTTAAACGGCTATAACGCAAATTTCGAATCACTCTGTATAAGTACATATAAGTATATTATATTTAACGAATCGCATATGTGTAATATTTATTTGTATTTGTATTTTTTTTTTCTAAATACGGTTTTAACATAGATAATCTTTTTAAAAATTGTTTAATTCGATTTTATTATTACTGAAAATATTATATAAAATAGGTATTGTTAATCCACAATTATGCGGAATATACATTAGAGAATACGTAGAAGTGTGATTTTGTTGATTTTTAAATTTATGCTTGCTGTTTACACGAAAATAAAACTTTAATAATAACTGAAATACGATGTTTGTAATTTGTTTATATTTATTATCGTTGTTTTTTTTTTTTTTCTAATATTATTTGGAAATGGGTACCTATAGCGGGGGGATATATTTTATGTAACTCGGTGAATTTATCGCGTCTGAGCGGCGGGTGTCGCCCGCGTGTGCGGAAAATTCGCGTTCCGCGTAGCGGCTGGGACGACTTGAATGCGTTTTACCCGTTCCGAAATGAAAACGGCGAAAAGCGCCGGTTCGCGGCGATCGTTCCGCGGGTGCCGAACGACGTGCCCGCAGCGTACGCGTGTCGGCGGCGCGTACGCTTTTCTCTCGCGACAGCCCGGCACCGGGACGCGATTGATCCGCCGGCAAACGACGAGCTACGCGACAAGGCGTATTATTCACGACGAGCACCGTCGTCGTCTCGAGTGCGTAGCGGGCGTCCGGGGGAAAAAAAAAAAAAAAAAAAAAATCCACTTGTCGTGTTACACGCGCGCCGATACGGCGGTAATACAATAACGGCAATTCGCGCGGAAACGGTAAGTGTCGCTACGCTCCCGGGAAAGACGGCCGCGCGCAAGTGTACGGCATTAGCAACGCGCGTTCCGTCAAACGTCGACGGACGGCGTTCCGAAGCGAGTTTGAAACTTTCGGGCGCCCCGGGAAAACAAATTCACAAGTATGTGACCCGCAAGCCGATCGGGGCCCCCGGCGCTCATCTCCGGCCGGACGGTAAACGGGCACGGCGCGCCCGCCCGGTGTGTTTCCGCGCGAACGATGGCCGACGGGGGAAACGGCGACCGGCACGTAAATTGTAGTTAACCGAATTTCGACTCTGCGAAATTCTCCGGCGGAAACGTTTGTAGCCCGGGCCCGGGTCGGGTTATTCGCCGCACGTCGCACGCGGCCGTTAACCGTTTCCTTTGAACGCGATCTTTTACGGGTTCCCGACGGTTCGTCGGGAAACGCCCGACGACGCGCTCGTCCCGTTTCCGTCGGCGTCTCGGTTACCGTTGCCCGAAAACCGGGAATAGTGATAGTAACTGTCGTCACGCTACGCTCCGCTTAGAATTGTTTTTTTTTTTTTACCTTTCGATATTTTTCGTTTTTCATTTTTTTGAACGCAACGATCTATCAACGGCATCGGGCACACGATGTCATGAATATCACACCCTCACCAGTTGTACGATATGGTTTTTATATTATATCAATTGAATTTAAATATTTAGAACCAAAAACTTCAAAATATACAAATTATAGTTTACAAATATCATAATATTTTTTAACGAAAGGTTCGTAAATGTAATAGTTACGCCCATTCGTAATTATAAATTTGAATCGGAATTTCCAAATTACAATCAAATAATTTCTATTTCTACTGTATAATAAGATAACTTCAAAAAAAAAAAAAAACTGACCAACCTACGATAATGGGAACGGTTGCAACCGCTGTTATGGGTAATTTAATGTAAATCTGTTAGCAACGATTAATCATTGCCGGTATCCGGTGAATTCATCGCGGCTGCGAAATTGGTCGCCGGTTAAATTGATCGACAAACAAAATAAAAATGAATTATGTATGATTTATACAGAATCCACTGGTTTTTACTGCACAGTTATTAAATGAATTTATTACAATGAATTTAATAGAATTTAATAATTTTTATTGATTTTTGGCTTATCCATAAAATTATTACAATAAAAAAAAAAATATATATATATATATTATAATATAATACATTGGGTATAAAAAATATAAAAATAAAATAAAATACCGTTGTTTAACGTTGAAGTTTAAAATTACGTTATAACGTCATAAAGTTATTCCTTTTAAATAAATCTATTGTATATACATTTACATAGTCGTCGCATATTTATTTATTTCCATATACCTAATATCAAATAATTTTAACTAAATAATTAGAAATTAAAAAAATTAATACGTCCTAGGATCCTATTGTCCTAATGGTGTCGGGTGCAGCCATTGGTGTAGATGGAATAGTGAGAAAGTAGAATACAGACGGGCATCTAAATGTATATCTGTAAGAAACGGCAAACCGTTGATTTTACGAAAAAACGATTCTGAGCGGAGTTCAGTTAATACTGCTGCTTTGTCAATAATATACATATATATAAAGGTAAAATTCCAATTATTCCAATTCCAAATATTAAAACGGACCCCGTTTTTCCTACGTTTATTTTTTTTTCGGTTTTTCACATTTGTTGAGAAAACTCTTGAAAAAATCGAAAAACTACCTCGTTAAAGCTTTTCCCCAGTGAAATTTCCTTTTAGAAAAATTTCTATCATTATAAGTTTGAGCGAAATTACTTTTTGAAAAGAAGTTTTCAAAGTCCTTTTCTCCAGCGGCTCTAGTTTACAGAATACAATTTTCAAACACAATAAAAATGATTGGCAAAAGTTAATTTTTATATAATACGTACCTACGGTTTTATTTCAAAACTATTGCTTTGTGTTAATCATATTTGTTTTGGTGTTGGAAAATTGGATTTAATAAATTAGAGTCATTGGAGGGGAAGGACATTTAAACCCCATCTATTATTTTTTGTTTTTTATTTTCACTATTACTTTTTCACGGCTTTTTATCGATTTCAACTACTTCTTTCGGATTACAAGTTCCGAGCCCTGATATTATTATTATTTTCTTTTTTCTGTTATATTATTTATAATGTTGTCAGGCGGTCGTTGTATCGACAGTCGATCCGATTTCACCGTAGTCCGATCATCACGTTTTCCGTGGTTTCGGAAGGCCGTTTTCACCTCTTGTTCCACGGCCATCATCGTTGTCATCGTTACCGCCATCGCCGCCGGTCGGGGTCGCACCGTTGCGTCACACTCGAATAACATCGAATTTGTGAAAACGGTAAAACATCGTAACCTCAAACGCACGCGTACAAAAAAAAAAAAAAAAAACAATAAAATAAAAATAAATAAACAATAAAACACACACTCGTGAGCAGCAGAATTCCTTCGCTAGAATAGGGTGACCCTGAAAAGAAAAAAACTGGATACTTTGCAAAAGCGTAAAAAAAAAAAAAAAAAAAAAACCGATACTGCTGATGGACGTGTTACTACTGTTCTCGGCTAATGATTTAAATTTAGATAGGTTACAAGTCCGAATTTTCGAATACCAAAAACGCTTTAACATTTAGTTAATAAAATAATTGAAAATAATAATTTTTCTTCTTCCTCTGCTTCTGGCTTAATCTACTCTACAAGAACTTTTGCCACCATCACAATTTCACGCCAATTCTCCCGATCATGATTAATATTTCTCTAAACTCCGTTAATCTTGTGCTTTTATAAATCGTCATCGATCACATACATCCATCGATCTTCTCCTTGGTCGTCCTCGTGGCCTCTTTCCCGTTTGTGCCCAAGACATCACCGCTTTAATTATGTTTTCATAATTTCCACGCATAATGTGACTAAACCACTGGATTCTTTGACTTCTTATATAGCGTTTAATTGGAGCCAAACCTGTTTCTTCTCTTAGTTCTTTATTGAATTTTCTCCTCCGCTTAGGTACCAAAGTTTGTGTCTAATCTGGGTCCACGTATCGTCCGCGACATTATGGCCAATTTTAGGTATTTGATATGTTCGTGTTTTCACATACCATAAATATTTTTATTTAGTAGCTATTCGGTATTAAAATTACAAGGTATATTATACGTTATAATAAAAAACAAAAATTCGAGTTTAATGCCTTAATTGTTGTTTTGTCATAAACGTTTTAAGATCAAATTTTTACGAAAACTGTAAGAATTAGGTACAGCGTTTCAAAAGATCCCGAGTATTCCAAATCGTTTTTCGTTCGCAATGGTCTACCGTTTCGTAAATATATAAATTAAAAAACTTTATATTGTATATCCTTCTTTCCCGAATTTCCTCCTACAATAGTGACTGTACCCGTCTCCAATAATAGCTTTTTTTTTTTTTAATAGTTTATTTATTAACATAGATCCAACATAGGTCCTGACGACAGGCAAAATACTTTTTATATTACAGGTATTTTAAAATTGTGTACAATCATTAAACGCGATTTTAATTATAAACGTATGTGTATGTTTCAAACATTATTTTTTTATTTGTTTGTTGTAAATTATTATATAAACAATTTTATTGTACTTATTTTAGAACAAAATATCAATTGCAAACAAATTTGACTTGCTTAAAATTTCAGTATAGAAACTATATAATAAATATCTCCACTCTTCAAAACGTGTTAGTTATAATAAAATACAATAGTATAAACAAAATTATTTATACATATAAATAAAAAAGACGTACTAGGATAATAGAGACCGGTGCAGCCACTGTTATAGATAATTTAATGTACACCTGTAAGCAACGGTACAACCATTACTCACGAAAAAACGACTCTGAGCGGAGTTCAGATGCTTTGTCAACAATATATGCCATTTTATGGTAAAATAATTAAACAGGCTTTACATATCTTCTTTGACAATATTTGTTTATTGTTGTACCGATATTCCTAGTTTTCCTACGTTTTTACCGGTTTTCCCATGATTTGTCCCATTTTTCAAATTTGCTGGTAAAACTCTTGAAAAAATGACCTCTTTAAAGTACCTCCCTAGTGAAATTTCCTTTTTGGAAACATTGCTAGAATACTAGGCGACTTGGCGCTTTCGTTATCTATAGTAGATTTCTTTAAATTTTTTTTATATTCAGTCACGTTTTACATTTTGACTGTGACATACCTGATGATGAATTTTTAATTCGAAACCGAACGTATAATACACTTATCATAATACTCCAGGCGACGCATTCGTTAATCTATTCATTTTTTATTTCCATATTTATTTACTATATGTATTTTATGTTATTTTAGTTTAATGTTTGAACATTTAAAATGTTTTGTGAAATGTTTCAAGCGTATAGGGACTTGTTTTGTGAACAGCCAGCAACTTTGACTATAGGACACTCACGTCATTATCACGTACATCCTACTAAAACTATGCAGT